ACGTGGTCCAAAGTTATGCGGTAATGTATATTAAAAAAAATGCTATATTTAGACATATACTTATTTAAGACGAAATACCATTGGGCCAATCATAACACAGGAGAGTTTGATATACTTAATGGGCCAACAGATCGATTTAATTTGACATTCACGGCACCTTTGCTCACTTGGCGATTTTTAGTAATAACTCGACTCCAGCGCAACCTTGCAGCGCTGATCATAACTAAGATTTTTAGTAATAACTCAACTACAGCACCAACTGGTGGGTAAAATTTTGAAACTAAACCATCCAGAGAGAGCCACTCAAACACCAACACGAAATTTCGGTAAAATTCGGACACCCAGTTAGGAGCATTTCACTCACACACCTACAGAAGAATTATAAATACATTCAAAGATGGCTAAAAGTCGGTCCGTTTGTAGGCCCCAACACCAAGCGCCAGTCCTGTACCATGAACACTTCCAGAGATACGTAGTATGAAAAATTTGGTTTGTATGGGAGGCGCCACGCCCCCTTTTCCAATAGTCCGAAATTTTCTTCAAGAATATGCAATTGATTTCAGATATCGCCATACCGCTCCAATTTTTCTCCAAGAGTATGCGTATATCTCCATAGCACGTTCCAGAACTCTACCATGAAAACTTTTAGCCTGTGATCATCCTTGCGACGTGTGCGGAAGGTGTCCGAAATTAAAAAGAACATCGGTTCAGCCGTTCTCGAGCTTTGCGGACACAAAAAAAAACGGCTTTGAAAATATATATTAGTAAAGCTATGTATTAGTAAGTCTATGTTCATATATGAGTATGTATTTTTATAAATACTACAAATTTGATAATTTATGATTTCCACTAAAATATGGTTACTGAAAGCAGGTTAAATATTTGTGACTTGAACCTTATCGGAAATATTTATGAAATTTGGTAAAAGGATAAATACCTCTTATCTTTTTTGTGTTAAGGATGAGGCACTTTGCGTACAGATTGAGTGGTATGGGTTAGGAAAATCTAAATGCGTGAATCAAATTTGGATTCAGAATAGTGATCAAGAACAGAAATTAGTTTAGTCAGTAGTTTAAAAAAATTCTCATACAATTCTAGTTCGTTGCGTGAAAATAAGCTATGTATTGTCCCAACATACTCACTCTCTTCTCAACTCGTGCTGGCATTTGCACAATCAACTTTGTTTACAATGCGTTAGTGCACGAAATTGGCAGCCAGCAGAAGGTCAATTACTTGCCAACTTTGATTATACACGGTGCGCTCGACTTAAACCTGCATTGTATAGAACTTAGAAAACTGTCTGGATACTTATGGAATTACATAGAAATTTTAAAGACGAAAGTCAAAAGGCTAGTTCATAGAGTGTTAAAATAAAATAAACAAAAATATTCGCGGACGAATGGTTAACGAGAAATTGGCAGCCAAAAACACTTTAAATAAATTACAAATAATTTGCATACTTATGTAGATGGTTTTCTATGTTTTCTGGCTGAAGACTGTGTGAAATACAAAAGTGTGTGGAGAGAGTAGACAATTAGTAAATACTTCTTTAGAGTGATCTATATACATACTTAAGTATGTATGTATGTATTATATAAAAATGAAATGTTTTTCGTATGACGGCGATGCCTGACCGAACGGTACAACCGATTTAATAATAATAATAATAATATGTATGTTAGTGTTTGACCGAGCTTCTCCATGTAGACCTTTACAGTCTCTCGTAAGTTTTTCGATTTCAAATTTTTTGCGTTAACGGCTCTATTCTTTGTTGGTGGCTGTCAATGAGTAACAATGAATGTATTTGTTTGGATGTGGTTATTGGTGAGTCATTATAGCTTTTGTTTGTTTACTCGGGCTAAGATATTCTGATGTGCTAATATTTGTTTTAGGCAAGAATGTACTACACATATTATTTATAAATATTTTTTCTTTTTGTTTGAATCGGAATTGGCAATTTAAAATCACTTCAAATATTGTTTACCCCTAAAAATGTACATACACTCTTTTGTGCTAATTAGTATGGAGATTTGTATATGCTAACATAAATAAGTATGCAGGATTGTTTGATTCCACTGAACTTTTAAATGTTTTTCACGAAAGTTTTGCTGAATTTTAGTATTTTATGATTTGTTAAGTTTTTCGGCTTTCATGCAGATCGAACATTTTCTTGTTCTTCATTTGGTGACTTTTAAATTAAAATAGTATATGTGTGGTATCCTTTTCATAAAAGCAAAAAAAAAAATATATATACATATATAATCCAGGTATTCACACCCACCTGCTTATCGGTTTATATGGTCCTGTTGTTATATTTTTAACCGACTTCACATGTTAACGCTGTAACTTTGGACTACGTTACCCGACTTCAATAATTCCTTAACGAAAGGTGTTACCTCACAGGTGGTCCCATACTAATATGGTTAAATCCGATCATTAGACCATGAAGAAGTTTACGATAATCTTAAATTTTTATATGAGAGTTGAAGTCCGTTGTTTTTTTTTGCTTAAAAATTACTTGTTTATTTAGCTAACAAATATAAAATACGTAGATTGGAGAATAATAACATCGAAATTCAAGCAGCGTTAGTTGTGTTCACTTTTCGTTACAAGTGTTTTTTTTTCCAGACTGCCAGGTGTCTATACAGACCTTTTCCAATGTAATGGTCAACTCCAAACTTGTTAAGGACAGTTTTCACACCTTCCAATGCTTGACAGATAAAAACTCTCTAGCAGCGATCTAATTACCACGTCACTGTAGCACTGAGGGTAATGAAGGCCCAGCTGGTCACAGAAGGCTTTATTTTGTGGATCGGGAACTAAACTCAGATTGCAGTATATGCAAGCGATGGTAGGGGCTTCCGACAGGCTAGAATTTTTGGTTATGCTTTCGATTGGAGCCCCTTACGAAATAGTTTAATAAAATCTACTTGAAATCAGATTGTTTCTTGGTTACACAACTGGTAACAGAATGGAGATAAAATTACGGACTAATCAGGAGGTCTATGACGATGTCAAAGCACATTCTCTGTGATTGTCTGATATTGGCAAGATAAAGTTATGCACATTTAAACTCACCTACAATATAACCAAAAAGGTCAACACTTCGATTTGCGGAGGTTGCCAAAGAATAAAGAACTGAATGAAGAAGGAAGAAAAGCTGTCATTCCTCTGTTGTAATTAATGACATTTGAGTGATTACTTAAATAAGATTATATATTCTTTAGGAGATTCAGATAAAAGAGAGGAAAGTGTAGGAGCCTCGTAATAATAATTATTTACACATCTGTACACATTTGGTTAATGTTAGCTTAACCTCTAAGATATTCCCTGTTTTGTGTATCGAGTCCTTCTCTCAGACAAATGGAGCTCATGATATCAAATGACCAGATATTTGGATATTTTTTATTGACTATTTAAATAATACATTTTGTTTTGTTTCTGGTACATTTTTTCATTAAAATGTTCAAAACCCATATTTTATATACTCTAAAAATATACAGTCAAAATAATTCCAATTTCAATCAATTTTGTTAAAAGAAAACTGTCCTCAAAATTTCGTAGACGGTCATTGTGGTATAATGGTTGGAAGAGCGCGCCAACATTCCTCAGGCAACTGGGATGGAGCTCAGTTTCCGACTAACATCAAAAACAAAAAAGTTGTTTTGTTTGCAATCAATGTCATGAAAAAGCTTTTCCTAAAAATCATCTGGTGTTCGGAGTCGGCTTGTAACTATAGGTTAAGCCCTCGATATATTGATACGTCTAAGGTGTCTTCAAAAGACCTCCTAATTGGATCTGTTTAAAAAGTACATAGTCGTATAAACCAACCAGTCAAGAATCTACATATGTAGCTCCTACACAGTAGCTTATATAAAAGCATGAAATTGGAGTGCAACTCAACCAAAAATGCAAAAGTTTATACAATTGCAAATATGTTTGAATGTAAGCTTATTCGTCTAATACAATTAGTTAAATATTGCACACAATTGCAGATAAAGGGTGATTTTTTTGAGGTTAGGATTTTCATGCATTAGTATTTGACAGATCATGTGGGATTTCAGACATGGTGTCAAAGAGAAAGATGCTCAGTATGCTTTGAAATTTCATCATGAATAGACTTACTAACGAGCAACGCTTGCAAATCATTGAATTTTATTACCAAAATCAGTGTTCGGTTCGAAATGTGAAAATCCGCTTTTTTATCGACAAATTTTGTTCAGCGATGAGGCTCATTTCTGGTTGAATGGCTTCGTAAATAAGCAAAATTGCCGCATTTGGAGTGAAGAGCAACCAGAAGCCGTTCAAGAACTGCCCATGCATCCCGAAAAATGCACTGTTTGGTGTGGTTTGTACGCTGGTGGAATCATTGGACCGTATTTTTTCAAAGATGCTGTTGGACGCAACGTTACGGTGAATGGCGATCGCTATCGTTCGATGCTAACAAACTTTTTGTTGCCAAAAATGGAAGAACTGAACTTGGTTGACATGTGGTTTCAACAAGATGGCGCTACATGCCACACAGCTCGCGATTCTATGGCCATTTTGAGGGAAAACTTCGGAGAACAATTCATCTCAAGAAATGGACCGGTAAGTTGGCCACCAAGATCATGCGATTTGACGCCTTTAGACTATTTTTTGTGGGGCTACGTCAAGTCTAAAGTCTACAGAAATAAGCCAGCAACTATTCCAGCTTTGGAAGACAACATTTCCGAAGAAATTCGGGCTATTCCGGCCGAAATGCTCGAAAAAGTTGCCCAAAATTGGACTTTCCGAATGGACCACCTAAGACGCAGCCGCGGTCAACATTTAAATAAAATTATCTTCAAAAAGTAAATGTCATGGACCAATCTAACGTTTCAAATAAAGAACCGATGAGATTTTGCAAATTTTATGCGTTTTTTTTTAAAAAAAAAGTTATCAAGCTCTTAAAAAATCACCCGTTATATAACTTTTGTTAAATAAAAAAAGTAGCATAATAAAACAGGCATTTCACTTACGGTTTTGTGCGTGTTGTTGTTTCTTTTCCTTTCACTTCAAATGCGGAAACATCTACAAAGAAAACACCTGAAAATAGAGAAAATTGAGAAGCGTAAGTGCGAGCAAAGTATTTAAGAAGCTTTGTCAAAGTATAAAACCAAAACAAGAAAATCTAAAACAAATTTACTTATGTTCATTGAACGTGACATTTTTACCATCGACAATTTATCGTGTCGTCTGGCTTCACTTACAAACATAGGTATGTTTGCACTTACATGCACACATGTGAAGCAGAAGCGTATTTAAATTTCAGGAAGCATAGAAAAGTTTAAAACTTTAGGGAAAGGTATTGGGACTACGAGTGTAAGCTTTCATGGTTAATTGTACATTAGGGTCGTCCAAAAAAAAACATGAAAGTCGGATTTTGAGTGCTCTCACTATATCGAAAATCATATACCCCTATTTTACAACGCTTTTTTTTGTTCGAAACTAAAAAAATATTTAGAGGTCGCTCAAAGCGCCGAAAGTATATGGAAAAAATCCACTTTTCGTAGAAGTGGTATAGGATTCTTGAAAATCAATATTTTTCGATCTTGACCAGATTCATGGATTCATGGAAATGATCCCTGAAAAGAAGTTGACACACAGCTGCAGTTGGTAGCACGTTGGGAAGGACCTCTCGGTGGACCTCGCAGTGGCACCATAAATAGTGAAAGTAAGCTGCTGCTCGCGTATGAAGATGATATTGGCGCCCCAGGGCCATTAATTTCAATGGCGCGGAAACAGCGACCATGCCGAACAAAGAGAATAAAAAGTGAAAGGTGTGAGACTCCATGGCGTATGAGTGATTTAAGGGTCGCAATTTGTATTGTTTCGGAATTTTCGGTAATTTGCTGTATTTCTTTGGTTTTTTTGCCTCAAATAAAAAAATTAAAAGCAACCATAACAAATTTGCTACTTCACTTAAAACAACAAGAGGCAAAAGTTAATTGAAATATTCTCTAAATCCGTAACTACACTCCAAAAAGTGCATGTAAAACTACTACTGAAAAGTGTTTATTTTTCAACCAGAATCAGTTCAAGTATACGCACGAGATGTTCAATGGTACCTTAAGGGTCGTCTCGTAATTTCGTTTAGATCGGATCATTAAATCATGAAAAAATTAACGGTACTCCTAAATAAAAATTTGAGAATTGAAGCCGGTTTTGCTTTTTACTTAATAATTACTTGTTTAATAAAACGTTCTATAAACACAGGATGCACTCAACTTTCAAAAGTAATACACAATTTTACAAAAGAATTTTAATATAAATAAATTAAATAATTCCATGAAGTTTTTACACTTTAATGTTCATTTTTATCGATTTCTGGTTTCTCATTTTTGTAATACTTCTTAATAATACTGGGGTTTGAACGCCAAAACCCACCCTTTGTGTGCGCGAATGTTAAGTGCTCATATTTACTCAACTTTAAACACTTTGTGTTTAGTTTTTCTCTACGTGACAAATTTGGTATGTAAAAGTAAACATACAGTGTTTAATTTTGCACACACTAGGAGAGGAAACTGGTTATCTCTCTTTGTATGCATAAATTAAAACAAAAATTTGTTAGAAGAAATTATAAACATTGTGAACAATAAATGTTTAGAACTTAAAAATTAAATTTGAAATTTGTTCTACGCCACACATATGATAACTAAAAGTAAGCAAGCAGTGCTTAATTTAATTAACACGTTGTGTAAATTTGCATTCATTAAGAGAGGAAACTGGTTAACTATTTTAATATGCGCAAACTAAAACAAACATTTTTTAGAGTGCAGAAATAACTTTTATAAATAAGCCACAAGTTTATATTTGATGCAAATTACTCAACTATGCGTTTTTAAACTATTTATCATGCTCTTTTCAATAACACTTTAGAACAGGCCATCAACAATGTACATAAATATTTATATATCCACATAAATGTACGCACATTATTCATATTAAGTAATTTGATTACTCAACTATAGTGTCATTTTTCATCGTTGTGAAAGCTCCTGTTTATAAATAAATAATACAATTTGAAGTTGCCTTACTCCCACCATCTATTTTGTTTTTTTTTTTTGTGTGCAAGTCTGCTAGCATTTTACACTTCTCTGGCTGTCACACTACATTACCTTTCGAAGAGCTTAATACTCTCTACATAAATGTATTCCCAAGTCTGCTTGGTACGCAGGCAGGCTGTGCCTCTATGCTATCTCGTCAATTCCCCTATAAACGGATTTTATGCTAAAAGCAAACAATACTTGTTGCCACTTGCAATGTCATCCTCAGCCGGCGTTGAGTGCCTATTTATTACCTACCATCTGTCCTTTCAAACCCAGTTCCGACATCAACATTACTTTCGCTTCATACTAAGCGCACACATGTACTAGTAGTATATATGCTGTCATACTTGTTGCCATCTACACTGCGGCTTGCTCTTTCAGGCGCTGTGGCCAACAAGATTGTATCAATAATGTATGCAAAAACACATTCTAAAAGCGCGTCGAGTGACGTGGCGCAGACTATGGAGGTCAGCGGGTGGCTGGTGATATAGGTCAGCGGCCAAAGTAAAGTGACATGGCATTGGCGAAAGACAAATAAACATCATAGCAGATGAGACTACATAAACACAAGTACGCGACGGAAAGTGATGGTGTCAATATAAATGACAGAAACTGTTGCACAGCAAGTGGCTATATGGGCAGGGTAACCTTAACAAAAAAAAAAAACAAATTAAAAACCATTCACAGTGTGCAAGCGAAAAAA